TACTGGCACGAACTCGGTGCGCAGACTCCATATGGCATGAAGGGTGGGTGGAATCCAGGCCTGCCTGGGTCTATGTGGGCCAGATGACGGGAGAAGCCCGCCACCCAAGCCACAGCCCTCGCCGCCTCTCTCCAGCTCACAGAGGGTGCCACCTGCTTCCTGCAGGACCCTGAAAAGCAGTCGCCTGACAGACACCTGACACTTAATTGTCCAAACAGACACCCCTCCCTGCCCCCCAGAATCGCAGTGCCATCCGTGGATCTGGAGCCCAGCTTGCCTTCCCTCCTAACAGACGACATAACGTTCTCCTTCATGAAAGCTTCGTGGATGGGACTGAGCAGAGAAGGAAAAGGGTGTGGTGTGCATCGGGTTATGGATGGAGAGTGGAGGAGAAACAAATCCAAAAGAGTTCAAGGTGAGAAGGGGCTTAATCCTGACTCTGATCCAGGCTGTTGGGAGTGACAAGGAGGCCACACTGAGGTCACCCTGCCATCCAGTGCCCTGGGCTTTGTCACAAGAAAGGCCCCTGCCAGAGTCAGTGTCAGACACACATGACAGGCCTGATGAAGAGATGACACGACACCAAGCACTTTCCTCCCCGCCCGTCCAGGCAGCACCCACAGCGGCCACCGTGTGGGCCCTCTGCATTCGGGGACAACTCCGCATGCCAGGCCACCTCGTGTCTGTGCCTCCACCCCTGTTCCAGCCAGGCAGCCGCCTAGGCCTCCCGGGGACTCTGTGACCTGCTGGCCCAGGGCAGGTGCTGACTCCTGAGCGGCCTCGAGGTCACCCTGACAGCTGCCTGCTGGTACCCGCGCTGTCCCTGGGGCTCCGGAAGCATGTCCTCCCCCGCACCAATGGCAGCAGGTCCTTTAACTGCCCCCTTTCTACAGAGCAGGGGACCTGAGGTGGTGGGTAAGGGTCCAATAGTAAGGATGCCAGGCTTCGTGGCCCGGGGGGGTCCCTGTTCAACTCGGCCACAGACAGCATGAACACTGAAATCTGAATTCCATATGCGCCTCACGTGCCACAAAATATCACTCTTCCTGGGACTGAACCAGGAAGTCAGGCAACTCAGAGGAGCAACGGGCCCCAAAGAACCTGGTTCCCTCCATGGCCAGGCCTCCTAGGAGACACGTGGGGGAGATTTACAGTCTCCAGTCCACAGCCGAGGACCTTTCAAACCCTCCGGGAGAGAATTGCGCCCCCCCCCCAGTCCTCTCCCTTCGCAGCCCCCTCCCACAGGCCCGTGAGCGCTTCTTAGCACCTCCTGGGATTGTGCGAGGAGGGGCGAGTCATGGAGAGAGGAGGGCAGTGTGGGCAGTGGGACGGGGCTGAGTGGGCACCACCTCTGACCAGTCTCTCACCCTCCCCACCCGGGTCCCCCGGGTCCCTTGTCAGCACAAGCCCAGCCTTCCCTACAGGCTGCAAGGACCCCCAAGGGCTGGGTTTCTGTGTTTGGTCCCCACACCTGGCCGCTAGAAGCCCAGGCCCGGCTGTTGCCTTCAACTAGCTGAGGGCCATGCTGGACCCGGTATATTTGGGTTCAATGCCACTCTGAACACTCCAGGGGGAAAGGACATTGCCCAGGGATGAGGTCCTGGGCTTGTCCTGGCAGCCAGGGCTGTTCCCACGTGGTTGGGGCCACAGCCTGTGTCCCTCTGCCCCGTCCCCAGAGCTGCCTGGAGAGAGGCTCTGGGAAGCCAGGACCAACTGGGTAGGCACTCCTGCAGAGACCTGGCTACACCCCATACCCCTCTCTGGGCTGACCCAGGGGAGCAGGGGAGGGGCAGGGAGCGGGGAGCTGGGTGTGGGGAGCCCACCTTGCTCTTCTCCTGCTGCAGCTCAATCTGGATGTCCGTGAGCTTGGCCCGCAGCTCCTCGTTGGCGGCCTGCAGCGCGGCAAGGACCTCGGCCTTGTCCCCCTTGGCTCGGCTGCCCACGCCCTTCTTGGACATGGTGAGGGGG